TTCTGAGTAGCGTATAGCTAAAGGATGAGTGGCTCCCTTGATTGGCTGAATTGGCTCCTCAGTGGCATGTGAAACGGATAAATCGACTGTTTCTCGGTCCCCTCACCAAGCTTGGATGATGAAACTACCGGTAGACTCAGCTGGTGGACTTCAGGTGGTTTTAACCTTTTGAGGCTCACAAGGTTGTAAACTGTTCCTTTCTGTCTTTGATGCTCATTTTCCCATGATCAGAAAAGAACAAACAGGGGCAGCTAGGTGGCGCAGTGGATAGAGCACTGGCCCTGAAGTCAGGAGGACCTGAATTCAAATCTGGCCTCAGACCAAACACTTGACACTTACTAGCTGTGTGACCCTGGGCAATTCACTTAACCCTAATTGCGTAAAAACAAAAAAACAAACAAACAAACAAAAAGAAAAGAATAAACACCACGAGACAAAAGAAGCATTGTAACTGTGCATTTAGAGCCATATAGCAGCTGGGTGAGAGACAGAAGGCCTGAGGCCCCTCCCCCAACCAGAGACCCACAGAAGGTCTCACTTTGAGAGCCACCAGAGAAAAGGAGGGAAGGGCATCTGTTCAAGCCTGTTGTATGCAATCAGTTCTGCCTCAGCAGCCAATTAAAAGGCTTTTCATCACCTCAAAGTAAGCCAGGATTGTGCTTGCTCCAAAGCAGTGAGGAAAAGGACCCATGCATCATGTAGTTCCAGAAGCAGGCTGACCTAACAGGTAGAGAATATTGTACATACTTTAAGGATTGGGACCTCATGAGCCAGTTTCTCTATTACACTATTAACTGTATATTCTAGCCAAACTTTACTACTAGCTCTTCTCCAACTCATTTTTCCATATTATCCCTACAGAGATTCCCACAGGCTATTCCCCATGTCTCAAATACATGTCTAGAACACTTCCTCACCTCTACCTCCCTTTTTCTTCTTTTATGATTTTGCCGAGGTATTGCCTCCTTAATCTCCCTAATTATCAAAGCACTCTTTCCTCTATTTTCCTACTATTATACCTATTTGTATATATGTACCTTCTGCCCCACAGAATGAAAGCTTCTACAGAACAGAATCTGTTTTGTTTTTGCATTTGTTTCTGGGATCGTTTTCATCACATGGTTGTTGTGGAGAAGGCAATTTCTAAACTTCAAAGTGCTTTGTAAATGTGTGTTATGATGATTTTTATTATTCCTGGGGCTTAGCATAGTGCTTTGCACATAGCAGGCACTTAGAAAAATGTTTGTTGCATCACTCCTAGGGGTATTATTAGTCTGATCTTACTGAGGTTCAAGACAGCTGAATATTTTATGGTATCTCCAGTAAGCCAACAGAGAAATTCCATTTGGTTCAATTCAACAAAAACTTATTAAGAGGATACCATGTGGAAATTACCAATAGACGAATCTAAGGTTTCAGTAATAAGCACGTGTTGAGCATCTACTATGTGAATACAAAAGAAATAGAAGAAATGATTCCTGCCCTCAAATGAGTTTATAAAATAGTCCGGGTAAACAGAATGTATACATATGAAACAACTAATAAACAACTACAAATCAACATTTAAATACATAAAATGTGAATTGTTGAATTGTATACGTGTAAGAGAAATCATGAAATCTCAGAATTGGAAGGGACCTCAGAGAGTATTGAATCTGACATCTAAAAAATAATTCCCTCTAGAAGATATCTGATCACCCTTTGCTTGAAGATCCCCATGGAGGGGGAAGGCACTAGAGGAACGGAAGGGGGAAGAGAATAAGCATTTATTAGGTGCCTATGATATGCCAGGTACTGTGCTAAATGCTTCCAACCTGTTCCACTTTTTTCCTTTAGACAGCTTTCATTGTAAGGACTTTTTCCCCTTGTACAACAAGCTTAAATTTACCTCCTTTGAGACTGTCACACATTGCTCCTAGTTTTGTCTAGTAAGGCCAAACAGAACAAAAATAATTCCTGTTTTGCCTGAAAGTCCTTAAAAACCTTGAAGAGAGTTATCATGTTTGTCTTTGAATCCCCAGCGCTTGGTAGGTGTTTAATAAGCGCTTCTTGATTTATTGACTAATAGTATACCAAATCTTCTACAGATTAAAAATCCCCAATTCCTTTAAAAGATACTCAACTTGCATGAAGTCAAGATGTTTTACCATCCTGGCTTCCCTCCTTTGTACATATCTAGCTTATTTGTCTTTTAAAACATAGCACTCAAAAATGAAGACAGCACTCCAGATGAGGTCTATCTGAGGTTCAGTACTGCAGAACCATCACTTTCCTGATCCCTGACACAATGCCTTTTTTACTACAGCATATGATTGCATTAGTTTCTTGGCTAACATATTACACTGTTGACTCACATTGTGCTTGAAGTCCACTTAAACCCCCAGATGTTTTTCAGACAAACTGCTATCTAAACATTCCTCCTTCCATTTTGTACCTGCAAAATTGATTTTAACTCAAATATGTCCCTATTGAAATATTCATTTTAATCTTGCTAAATCTCTCCCAGTGATATCCGTGAATCTGATCCAGTGTTAACCATACTTCCTAGCTCCCATCTGAAAATATTATAAGTATGCCATTGTTACCTCGAGGCAACTGGTGGCTCAGTGGATAGATTACTGTGCCTGGAGTTAGGAAGACCTGAGTGCAAATCCAGCCTCAGATACTTACTAGCTGTATGACCCTGGGCAAGTCACTTAACCTCTGTTTGCCTCAGTTTCTTCGACTGTAAAGTGAGGATAACAATAGTACATACTTATCATGGTTGTTGTGAGAGTCAAATGAGATTATATTTATTAAAGCATTTGGCACATAGTAGGTACTTTATAAATATATATTCCCTTCCCTACCCTTTATTCAAGTCATAGGATCATAGACTTGGATCTGGAAGGTGTCTCTAATCCACCCGCATTTTACAGATAAAGAAACGGGCCCAGATAAGTTATATGACTTGCCCACGGTAACATAGCTTATAAATGATGAAAACAGGATTTCAATCCCCATTTCTCTGACTCCAAACACAATATTCTTTCCATAATACCATACCGACATTAACAAAAATATTGCCACCGCGCCAAACACAGACCCCTTGGACACCTGGTTCCCAAGGAGAATCTACTCAAACTTAAAACATGTTCCCCACCAAGTGTGCTTCTGGGTGAGCTGGTGTAGCTGATGGCAAGCGGCTCCCTTGCTCAGCTGGAGCCTCCTTTCAAGTGAATATCAGATGGCTAATGACAATTCTTTTTGGTTTAGCAGTATAACCAGCTCCGAATCCACCTAATGTCACTCCCTGCTCTATAGGTTTCTAGTTTGTCCACAAGAATAATATGATGGGCTCTGTCAAATACTTTGCTAAAATCTAGGTGAAAATATATCTCTAGCATGGAATCCTTGTCTCCTAGGCTAGTAACCCTGTGTAAAATCTGCCGTGACCTCTTCTTGATGAAGCCTTGCTGGATCTTTGTAATCGCCACCTCCTTTTCTAAATATTCACTAACCATCTTCTCAACCAGGGGTGTCAAGCTCAAATAGAAATGGGGCTGCTAATCTATACATAAGGATCCCTGTGGGCCATTATTGACTTAGTTTTAAAATGTAATGTTATCTATGTTTCATTGTATTTTTATTTATTTAATTATTTCCCAATTTCATTTTAGTCCAGTTCTGGCCACACTAGGGAGTGTTGCACCGCATGTTTGACACTTCTGTTCTAGAATCCTAAGTTCTAGAATTTTCCCAGGAATTAAAGCCAAGCTTACTGGCTTTACTCCCTTTTTTTGAAAACTAGGACAATCCTTGTTATTATTCTCTATTCCTGTGGCCCCTCTGGTTGTCCACAATCTTTCCAAGATCACTAACTGTGGCTCAGCGCTCCCTCACATCTGCGGCCTTCATTCCTTATCCTAAGATGCATCCTCATGGCCAGGTGACTTGAATCCATTGCGGGGTACAAGGTGTTCTCTTGCTAGCTTCTCTCTTATCTCGGTATCAACTTTCTTTTAGCTATTGTTGTTGTCTTCCTTTCAAGCCAAATATCCATCTCCTTGGGGGAGAAAGAGAAGCCGAATAAAAATGGAGCAGCTCTACCTTTACCTGCATTATTGCTTATTATTTTCCCATCCATCTTCATCAGTGGTGCCATCCCTCTTTGATCCTCATTATAGCTAAAAACAAAAATGCAAAAATTTAAAGAATATTTTATTGACCTTAGCGTTCCTTACTAGCTTCCACCTAGTCTGAATTGAAGCATTAATGACACTATCCCCACGGGGGCTTTTTGCATTTTTGTATTCATCCTCTGTTACTTACCCTTGTACCCATATTCTGTGCATTTTTTTTCTTATCTAAATTGGTTGGGAAGTCCTCTGTGCAGCTACATCTTTTTATTTTTAAACAATTACTCTTTTTTCTTTCTTTCTCATTAAAATGGTTTCTTTTTGTATCTTCAGACATGGGACAACTCTCCATATTTCCTGGTCTGGCTGGCATTTCCTGTGGGATTTTAGCCCATGGGATACTACCTACCTTTTCTCCAAATCTTGTGTGACTTGGTTGGTCTCCCAGAATCTAAGGCCTGAGTCAGATTATGCCCTTCTTTTCACACTTGGTTGGAATGCCTTCCATTGATTTGATCCGATCAAAATGAATTCTTACATGGCTAAAATACCAGAACATAGCATTACTTTTGGGTAGGATGGGGTAATTTGATAGATTTGCTCAACCAACCCCACCTTTGATAATACGCATAGATGAATTAATAACTATTAGCTAGTAATAATGCATATATTAGTTAATGAATCTAGAGATAGCACAGTTTGGGGAAATGAACAATAAACAAGGAGTTAGGAGAGACCTAGATTGTCTGTTATTGTGTGAGTTAACTTCCCTGTACCTTGGTTCCCTCATCTGGGATTCTCCGTGCAATGTGCACAACAGGATTCCATTTATACTTTTCACATCTCTTTTCCCTGAGGTTTGCCTTTTCATTTGTTTTTCAGAGATGTAAAAATAAAAACTGGAGAGTGGTTCTTTGAGGAACGAGCCAAGAAATTTCCAGCTGAAAGTAAGTGCCATAATTTTTAGTTTTTAATCAAAATAAAACTGTATAATAATAGCTTTAAATAATATTTAGCTTATATAGGAAGAGATAAAGATAGTTAGAATTTAAAACCATTGCAATGGTTAGCATGTCATACCCAGTGTTCAAGGCAAGCTGAATGGCTCCCATCTCATACACAATGAGCTTTGCTGCCTCCACACCTTTGCTTTATGTAATTTCTTCTTCCAGGTTGTAAGTGGCAGAGCTGGGATTTGAATGCAGGTCCTCTGACTCCATAGGGCAGCTAGGTGGTGCAGTGGTGCAGTGGATAGAGTGCTGGGCCTGGAGTCTGGAAGACCTGAGTTCAAATGTGGCCTCAGATATTTACTAGCTGTGTGACCCTGGTCAAGTCTCTTAACCCTGTCTGCCTTAGTTTCCTCATCTGTAAAAATGACCTGGAGAAGGAAATGGCAAACTACTCCAATACCTTTGTCAAGAAAACCCCAAATAGAGTCACAAAAAAGTCAGAAACAACTGAAAATGACTGAACAACAACAAAACCTCTTACTCTAAATCTAGCTGTTCCATGTTGCCTCCTTATCAAATACAGCTTGTTGTTGTAATTATATATATATAGATATATAGATATATATACACACATATACATACACATATATGTATGTCTTTCTCTCCTGTTGAATTGTCAGCTTTTTGAAGACAGGTAGTGGATCTTATTCATCTCAGCATCCCCACTACAATTGCTTGTTTGTTGAGTAACTACAATAAACACAAGAATTGTGAGTCATTCATTCAACAAGTAACAATTATAGGTTTACAAAATGCTTTATATAACATATGCATATATATATATATATGTATATAAAAATCTCCTTTGGCCTTCACAACAACCTTGCGAAGTAATTAAAGTTTTTTTATCCCCATGTTGTGGATGAAGAAACTGAGGGTTGGAGAAATAAAGTAACTATTTCTCCAGTCATCCAATGAGTAAGTATCAGAGCCCTGTGGATCAGCTCTCTTTCCAAACTATACAGAATAAAGTTGGAATTCAAATTTAGTTCTTCTGAGTGCCTATTATGTACAATGGAATAATAAGATAAAATGGTAGGTATGACTTCACAAGGACTGTGGGTGTGGATGGAAATATGTGCTAGTTTGCTGTGTGTACTGTGCTTTTCTTATAAAGTATACTCTTTAAAAATTTAATTTAATTAAAAATATATTTTTATTTAATAAAATATTTCCAAATTACGATTTAAAAAAATTTAACAGGGGCAGCTAGGTGGCACAGTGGATAGAGCACTGGTCCTGGAGTTAGGAGGACCTAAGTTCAAATCTGGCCTCAGACACACAACACTCAATAGCTGTGTGACTCTGGGCAAGTCACTTAATCCCAATTGCCTCAACAACAACAACAAAAATTAACATTCATTAAAAAAGGCTTTTTTTGAGTTCTAAATTCTCTCCCTTTAGCCCCTTTCCCACCCTTTGAGATAAGCAACTTATCTGTTTTACAATGTGAAGTCATGTAAAACATATTTCCATATTAGCCATATTGCAAAAGAAAACACACACACACACACACACACACACACAAACCCCAAGAAAAGTAAAGTGAAAAGTGTGCTTCAATCTGCACTCAGAGTTTATCATTTCTCTCACTGGAGGGGGATAGCATTTGTCATCATGGGTCCTTTGGAAATGTCTTGGATCATTGCCTTGCTCAGAATAGCTAAGTTAAAGTATACCTTTAAATGTGTCACAAAACTGGCAAACTTTGCCCGTGCCTGATACTGTAGATCACAGACTGTACATGGGCTTGTAAAAGTGTTATAGTATGGGGCAGCTAGGTGGCACAGTGGATAGAGCACCGGCCCTGAAGTCAGGAGGACCTGAGTTCAAATCCGGCCTCAGACCAGACACTTGACACTTACTAGCTGTGTAACTCTGGGCAAGTCACTTCGCCCCAGTTGCCTAAAAACAAAACAAAACAAAACAAAACAAAAAAAAGTGTTACAGTAGAGGATGTGAACAATGAGATAAGGGCAGACCTAAACAAACAGAACACTTGCATACGTTTCTAACAAAATGACAAAGTTCAGTCAGCCTTCCTTCATCAATGATGAACTCAAGCACATTTGCTTCTAGCAGTAATATCTGTAGCTTCTGATAAGCTTCTCTGTGACTTCTGATAAGAGAGGCAGCAGACCAGGAAGCCAAAGTGTGCAGGACTCTTCTCATTTAGAGGGAGTGGAACAGTTCAAGATACAGAACTATCTTAAGAAAATTGGAGATTTGGGTTGGAAACAAAAACCAATCCCCAAAACTATTTGGCTGTTGGAGGTAGCTAGATGGCTCAGTGCATAGAACACGGGCCTAGAGTCAGGAAATCCTGACTGAGTTCACAGCTGGCTTCAAACACTACCTCTTCACCCTGGCCAAATCACTTAATCTATCTGCCTCAGTTTCCTCAACTGTAAAATAATAGCACCTATTCCCAATGTTGTTGTGAGGATCAAATGAGATAATATTTGTAAAGCACTTAGCACAGTGTTTGTCACGTAGTAGGTGTCTAATAAATACTTGTTCGCGGCAATTAAAAATTGACTGCTTCTATTGATAAAATCAAATCTATTTCTGATGTTGAGAGTGCTAAGGACTTTGGTGATGAGAACTTTCTTTTCTAGGTCTGTAGTAGCTACAGCTGCTAAAAAGGTGGGGCCTCTAGCACCTGTAGGGGGAGTTGCCAGGTTGCATCTCCATAAGGGTTGCTTCTTTGGATGATGGAAGAGCAGGTTGAAAGGAAGGCTGGTGGCCTGGGGCAGTGCCTTATCTGCTGGTGGCAGTCACTGATGGTGGTGGTGCTGGTGAGGATGGTGGGCCCCTTTTCCACAAGGGTTGGTTCCCTAGATAACACAAACTAATACAAGCTTTCCAGCAAAAGAAAATTTTCATCTTTTGTAGCCTCTTTCAGGAAAAGAAATGTCAGCATGAGATTTATGAGATTTATTACTAAGTTCTCTTGGCTCTCTCTAATAGAGACACTTTCTGGTCTGAGCTGCCCAGCTGAGCCCAAAATGAAACTGGTGTGGAGCCAAGGGTGAACCTCTGAAGGAAGAAGATATTTCTAAATTCTGTTTTTCATAGCTACTTGGCTGCTATTCTTATGCCTAACTTTCTAAACAAGAAAACCTGTAGGCCATGAAAGGAACTTTGAATTTTTACCATGTCTTGATGAATTCTCCATTAAAAAGTATAATCAAAGTTATCATAAATTGAGCTATTTTCTGGATGTCTAGTTCAGTATCACTGTTGAGTTCAAAGAACCTCCTGGTCTGAAAGACTTTTATTTTTAACCAAATTTTCTGTAGCCTTTTCTTTATCTTGAGGGTTTACTTCAGGGGAAAAAAGTCGGAAAGTTTGCTCTTTAATCTTAGAAGTTCTTGTCCCTGAGGGATGGAGGAGGTAATGTGTGCCACCAGAGCCTGTGAGGATGAATAAAAGATGGGGAAAATATAGCCAAGTCAAAAAAAAACCCAACCCCAAAACCGCACTCAGTATAAGAGCAGACACTAAACTTCATATTCCTGTCAAGATACCAAGAAGAAGAAACAAACTAAAAAGGTCCCCAACTTATTTTAGTATTGCAGGAGCTACGTAGGTCTGTTCAAGAGGTCTTTGAATCTTCTTTTCCTGTTTTTGTAATGTCCTACCTGTCCCCTCTCAATCAGTTGATCTTTCGAGTGCTTTGGGTCCTAAGCTTCAACTGAAACAGTGTTTACTATGACACCTTTTCTAATAACAATTTTAAAAGACAAACTAAAAGAAAAAACCAACAAACAAAGCTTACTTCATCATTGTTGGTGAGGGCTGTCAGCACTGACCTGTTCCTCAAAATGTTTTTCAGTTGTACCCACTCTGTGATCCCACTTGGGGTTTCCTTGGCAAAGATACTGGAGTGGTTTGCCATTTCCTTCTCCAGCTCATTTTACAGATGAGGAACTGACGCAAACAGAGTTAAGTGACTTGCCCAGGGTCACACAGCTAGTAAGTTTCTGAGGTGGGATTTGAACCCAGGAAGATGAGTCTTTCTGACTTCAGGCCTGCTAGCTGCCTCTCTTCTTCAAATTCTCCTATATTTAATGATCTGTTTACATGTTGCATACCTTTGTAAAATATAAAGTCCTTGAGGGCAAGGACTAATTTTCATTTTGGGCTTTGTATCCTTCTTACCTCCCACAGAGCCTCGTACATGGTAGAAGCTTAATAAATGCTAATTAAATTCAGTTGAAATGCTACATCATAAACATACATTGAAACTCTTTCAACACTCAATTTTGTTTTCGGCAAGTTCATATTTCAACTCATTTTGCTGATTTGAAATTATTATTTCCATGATGTAGAGGATCCCAAAACATTGGATAATTGAATTGGAAATCCCCCAAATAACTAATAAAGGGCATTCTGTAACTGAAACAAAATGTTAGTCTTCGGGCATCCTGCCTACATTATTGAGTTAGCGACCTCTTCTGGCTAACTTGTGCAATGTGGATGATTTCGCTAATATTTTACAACTGTGACATTTTGCAACTTCTTAGTTCAAGCTTATAAAGCAGGAAATTGAGATCGCTTTTAATATTAATAGCTCGTGTAGTATTTTATAAATTTACAAAACACATTACTCTTGACAGTGCTGTGAGGTGGGAAGGATTTTTAAAAATAATATTTTATTTTTTCTCCAAATACATGTAAAAACAATTTTTAACATTAGTTGTTTTTTTTTAAGTTTTGAGTTCCAAATTCTATTGCTTCTTCCCTCCCCTGCCCTCCTGTGACAATCTAGTAAGCAATCTAATATAGGTTATACATGTGCAATCATGTAAAACATTTTCAGATTAGTCATTTTGTACAAGAAAACTCGAACAAAAAAAAGTGAAAAATAATATGCTTTGGTCTGTATTCAGATGACATCAGTGCTTTCTCTGGAGGCGGATAGCATTTTTCAT